TGGTTCAGGGTGTAGGTAACCATGCCCAGTCCAGCCCCATACGCTGGCTTTGGAGCCGTGTGCTGGGCTGAACCCAGTTCACAGGGTCTGCAACCTGGAGTATGCCTGGTCCGACCATGTGTGCTGCCTCCTGGGCTGTGCGCTGAGACCAGGTTGGATTTGGCATGTACTTCCAGAGTCAGCACGTGATCCCAGGATCAGCAGGCAGCCCTGGAGGGAGCACACAGGATCGGATCAGATAGGAACTGCAATTTGAGGCAGTTCCTATGAAAAGCAGCATTCCCTGCATTATTTTTGGCACAATCTCCAGGGACAGGGGTGGAACTTACTGAAAATTAAATGTTGGCTTCTCAGTGGGCACCAGCAGTTCATACAGCCATCAGCAAGTGGAGAGAGCCAAGATAGCGGCCACCCCTCCTCCCTCCACCACTGATTGGCTGAGGGGCCTGCCCTCTCCAATCAGCTGTGAGGGGTGGAGCTGCCTGAAGGGCAGCCTTCTTGGCCAGTCAGCAGCGCGGGGGGGCCTTGGTGTGAAAACGCAAAAACGGCAGCAGGCACCATGGTCAGCCCATGAAACCGCCTGCCTGCCTCCTAGTATGTCCCTTGTTTTATGCAAGAAAATATGGTATTTCATAGGCAAGCTAATCAAACATTTATTTTTTGCCTTTTTTTTTTTTTAAGGGAAAAAAATGGACATTCACGTCGTCTTTCTGTCCTTTTTCTTTTCCCAGTTGTTTCTTTTTGTTTTACCCCTGGAAAAGGGCTTGGGAAGGAAGAAGCAGCAAGGGTTTTTTTGGTTTTGTTTCTTATTGCAGTGATATAATTTGAAGAAAACAGCTCCACTTTCTGGCATATATTTAGTAATGTAGTCAGGAACTATGTGATGGTTGGTCAGATTTGTAGTATAAAATAAAAAGGCCTTGTGAGTACCAAACTCAAGCTGTATTAAAAACCTTAACTTTTGACCTCACCTTTGAATGTTTGGTTTCTCATCCTTAATGTTGCATTAATGTATCTGCATCAGCTTTGCAATTTAAATCACACAGTGCCTAAGAACTCAATGAATTGTGTGTTCTTTTGAGCTCAATGTAAAGAACGTTATGTGAATATTAATGCTTTTAACCTTTCTGGAGGAGAGTTTCAACCAGCATCAAAAACAAATGGAGTCATTGATTTATTTCTTTGTATTTACTGAATTGCATTGTAAAAGTTTTGGTGCATATTAAGTAGGGTAACTTCCTCTTATTTTTGTTTTGCATGGACATTTTATTAGTGTTTTGTTCAGATTTTAGTAATTTCCAGGCAGAAGTACGGGTTGTCTTTGTTTTCTCTTCATATTTATGCTAACTTTATCTCAAGAGAGACTCTTGAGAGCACTTTAACCAAGTGCTCCGTTTTTACTTACTCCATCATTCAAAAGCATTTTTTAACTTGTGAAGTGTCTCTGACATTGAGTGTCAGGCCTCCTGAATGATATCCCTGGCCTTGCTGCTATGTGATACAGGCCCAGGTGATGCACTTATTTTCTTGTACTTTTTTGGCAAAATTGGTCCAATAATTTTTACCTCTCCAGAATATGTCACGGCTCTGCTTGTAAAATGCAGATTGCTACCACTATATGTGCATAGAGCACAACTGTTCATTGTCATGACTTAGCTGACTTGATGTTCTGACATCTTAATTTGGACACAACATACTTTAGGAGACATAACTAAAAACTTTTTAAATGGAGCCTTTGGATTAAGGTGGTAACTTCTGTACTGAGGCTTGACTGAAGACTGAGATACAGAAAAAGCTGCATCTTAGGCTTTGTATTTGATATGAAGCCTTCTGATCAAAATTAGGGGGGGAAAGCAAAAATTTCAAAGTTCTGTGATTTGTTAAAGATTATGTTAGTTCAATTTTTTTATTAGCGACTTGGACGAGGGGGTGAAAAGCACCCTGTTCAAATTCGCTGATGACACTAAGATTTGGGGCAAGGTGGGCATGCTAGAAGGGAGGGATAGGATATAGCTGGACCTGGACAGGTTACAGGGGTGGGTGGGTGAGAACAGGATGGGATTCAATACTGACAAGTACAAGGTGCTGCACCTGGGGGGGAAGAACCAGCACTATACCTACAGGCTGGGGAACTCCCTTCTCAAAAGCACAGAGGCAGAAAAGGATCTTGGAGTCATCATTGATGCCAAGATGAACATGGGCCGACAGTGTGAGGATGCAGTCAGGAAAGCCGACTGCACCTTGTTGTGCATCCACAGATGCATCTCAAGCAGGTCCAAGGAGGTGATCCTCCCCCTCTATGCGGCACTGGTCAGGCCGCAGCTGGAGTACTGCGTCCAGTTCTGGGCGCCACACTGCAGGAGGGATGTGGACAGCATGGAGAGGGTCCAGAGGAGGCCACTCGCATGACCAGGGGGCAGCAGGTCAGGCCCTACAAGCAGAGACAGAGGGATCTGAACCTGTTCAGCCTCCACAGGAGAAGGCTGAGGGGGTCTGGTGGCCGTCTATAAACTTACTAGGGGGGACCAGTGGGGTTTGGGAAAGACCTTGTTCCCCCGAGCACTACCGGAGTAACAAAGAATAATGGCCACAAGTTGACTAAGAGTAGGTTCAGATTAGACCTTAGGAGGTGCTGCTTTACTGTCAGGGCAGCTAGGATCTGGAACCAGCTTTCAAGAGAAGTGGTGCTGGCTTCTACCCTGGGGGTCTTCAAAAGGAGGCTAGATAACTACCTAGCTGGGGTCATATGAGCTTAAACTTACTAGGGGTCATATGAGCCCAGTATTCATTTCTGCCCAGGGCAGAGGGTCAAACTTGATGATCTGCTCAGGTCCCCTCCGACCCTACATCTGTGAATCTCTGTGTTTTCAGGACTGAAGGCCTCAGGACTAGATAATGACCAAAGCAATGTATGATGAATTTGAAATGGTTAGCTTATTCAACTTGATCCTTTGAAAGGGTGTAAAGTCTTGCATTTGAATTGCTGTGATGCTTGGAGACGTAACTGCAGACAAAACAGGAGTGCATGGTTGAAACAGAGGCTTTTAGAAGCAATGTTATTTCCAATTATGGACTAACACCTTAGAAGGTAGGTGTGGGCATCTGCTTAGGGGGACACAAGTGAAGCAGTAAGGCAGGATGGTTTGGGAAGCTGTGAGAACTGGTACATTACTTTTAGTCCAAACCACACATAGTAGGCGTATTCAGCAATCGGAAAATTGCCTCTCTGGTGGCGTGCCCATCTCCGTTCTGTCAGCACTACCATATTAGCAGATCTGAAACTGACGGGGGCCTGTCATTTTCAAGGCTGCTATTAGAGGTAAGGCACTCCTGAGTAACAGTCTGACAAGCTCTAATGAGGTGTGAACAGCTGAGAGCAGGCTGGTCCCACAAGAAACATCAAGCATACTTAAATCCCCTTAAGCAGTGCTTTTAATGTTGAAATCATTAGGATTGGAAAATAGCTAGTGCCGTTCTGCAAGAGCGAGATGGCAATCTGCCTTACCCTCAGACGCTTTAAATGGCTTAATCTGCAGCAAGAGGAATAGGCTGGTGGTTTGGATGAGAGAAAAGGTTGAATTTTTATTCCCAGGTCTGCCACAGATGCAGTAGGCAAGTGACTTACGACCCGATTCTCAGTTCAGAATTGATGTAAACAGGGATAACGTTTTTCCTACCTCACAGTGGTAACGAGAGAGTTGGCCATGAGTCTTTATTTTAATTTTACCTAGAAGCAATCCTGGGGCAAGATTGTTCCCTCCTCTGTGAGTGTCCAAACCACCAAATGTCGGCCCTCTGACGTACTCTCTGGCTTAATTAATCTTGGATGCATATAAATAGAGCTTCAACTGGTGGGGTGCAGAATATTCCCACTGAAAATAAACTATAGCTTGGCGGCTGGGGTACTCTGGTGAGGGATTTGAGATGTAGGGTTGAGATGGAGGAATTGAACCCAAGTGTCAGAAAGTGTGATTGCTCCCAGTGCTAGACTGTCCTATAAAAGTCGAGCAATGCCACCCCCTTTTCTTTTAAAGCAAAAAGCAGGCTCTGCTTTTTTCCTCTACATTTCTTGTTGGCTAGCTTAGGTGGCTTTCCACTCACTGTGCTGGGTTTTTTTTAATCCCATTCTGACACCTCCTAATTCTCTCCATGCGGTGTATGAAGAGTCTCCGCACCAAACTGGGGGTTCTGGCTTCTGTTTCACACGTGTAAGCCCTTTGGTGTGACCAAGGCCATGCCAGTAGATCCATGGACATAGTGGATAATTAATCCCAAACTCCTCGGTTTAGGTGGGGACAAGCAGTCTTAATGGTGGTCCCTGGTATTTTATATTTGTGGAAGAACAGTATTCTGTAACCGTTGTGTATGATGTACCCGGTGGCTTCAGGGAACACAGACTTGAGGCTTTTCCCCTCAAAACCATGGGCTGGGATTAAGGCATAATTGAGTATGTAGGTAGGGAGTGTGGTTTGCTGGCAGGTCACAGGCACGAGTTGCACTTGTGCAGTGAATCAGCTTCTTTCATATCTGTTCAAATGGTAAGTCCCAGATGCTATGATTAATCTCTAAATACCGTCCACCAAGATTGAAGTTCAGCACGCTCCATATTACTGTTCTCCTTCCAAATGAAGTCTATTACAGATAAAAATGCGTGCTCTGTATCTGTTGACTTCAGCCTGAAATGAAATGACAGTGCACTTCCTTGCCTTGTGTGGCATTATCATTGTAGATTCTTCTTTAGCAGCATGTCCCTTAAGCTAGAGTATTACATTTTTATTTGTGAAAGAATGGTTACAGGCTGGTAAGTGTTGGAAGCAGCGCAAGTTATGCTGTTGCTGTTGTTTGTTGCACTTAACTTGAGTTCATATTTATGCCTTACAAGAAATCCTTCCCTCTAATATCACTTGGTGCAGTTTTTTTAAGGGATGACTTCTGGGCTCGGATATCCTCAGGAAGCTGGTCCTTTGTTTCTTATTTACACTTGTGTTCTTTGTTGACAGGAGTTTTTTGAGAACCCGGCTTTCCGCCCAGACGGTCTGAAACTCTACCCAACTCTGGTGATCCGTGGGACTGGCCTGTATGAGCTCTGGAAGTCGGGAAGATACAAGAGTTACCCTCCAAGCACCCTAGTGGATTTGGTGGCTAGAATCCTGGCTCTTGTACCACCATGGACACGAGTGTACCGTGTTCAGAGGTAATGGCTCTTGGTCACAGCTGTATATAGATTGTCTTAGGTTGTAGTAAAAACCTTAACCACAGCAGTTATCTTGTTGTTCTTAATCTTTATTGTACTAACGCTTTTTTTTTATTTTTTTTAAACCGTCTCCAGTCCTTGCAACTATTTCAGCTGACCTGCCTCTCTCACTCACTTATGTCCTGCCAGTTTTCTGGAACCGTCGAATCAGGCATCAGTCCAGGAATAGTGATTGAGCTAATGGACAGTCTCAGTTTGGCCAAGTACAAGGCTTATAGATGTAGACTGGTGTCGTTACAGGATCTGTGAAACATTTGTTATTTTCAGCTGTGGAATCCCTCTTCAGGATGTCTCACAGGGGTTAGCAAATCCATGCTGATGTGGCTCTCTTCATTCATTCATTTTAGACCTAAAATCCTCTTACGCCCAATTTAATGGGCACTGTGTCTTCTGTCTCCCTATTTTTTGTGTGGAGTCTTTTTTGAGGATCTTTTCTCTTCCCTTTCTTCTGAATTGGTATGATGCTAGCATAGGGACGGTTATACAGAAAGGATGGAAGCAGCAGAAACATATGACGACACCAGCCTGCTCTACAGCACCTGCACATTTGATACAAACAGAATGTCTCCAAAAAGCAGGCTGAAATGAGCAGACACTATATGATAAATTACCTGTCTCCTTCAGTAATGCATTTTATGTGCTACCACATAGGAAATATTAGTGAAGATGGGAATTAGTAGAAGAATTAGAAGGGACTAGGCATAAGGTAGGTGACATCAGCATTTGAAAGGGAAGCTTCAGGCTTTGTGGGCACTAATGCCATTTTCCAGGGCTCACCCTTGGGACTGGATTTTTTTTAATAACTTTGGCAGAAAAAGGAGGGCATCAATTAAATTTGCCAGTGACATTAAGTTGAGAGTCGTCATCCATTCAGAGGAGAACCAGGATCTTATGCAGGAACAATGTAACCAAAATAATAATCTGGTATGTAGCAAACCTTTTGCTAGAGGCGCTTAATGCTCTTTGGACAAATGACAGTAAACTTTTTACAAATGGATAAACCAGGAAATGGAGAAGTAAAATGACCTAGATGCAATTAGGGGTGCACCGATAAAGATTTTCTCGGCTGATACCAACAGCCGATGATTAGGCAACCATATTGGCCAAAGCCAATCTGATAACCACTATTAGATTTCATAGAGTTCATAGACATTAGGGCTGGAAGGGACCTTGGAAGATCATTGAGTCCAGCCCCCCGCCCAAAGGGCAGGAAGTCAGCTGGGGTCGTAGGATCCCAGCAAGATAAGCATCCAATTGGCTTTTGATGGTGTTCAATGTAGGTGCTTGAACCACCTCCGATGGCAGGCTGTTCCAGACCTTGGGGGCTCGGACACTAAAGAAATTCTTCCTTATGTCCAGCCTGAAACGGTCTCGCAGTAGTTTATGACCGTTCGACCTCGTCATCCCTTGGGGCGCTCTGGTGAACAAACGTTCCCCCAGATCCTGGTGGTCACCCCTGATAAACTTATAGGTGGCCATCAGATCACCCCTGAGCCTGTGCTTTTCCAGGCTAAAGAGCCCCATGGCTCTCAGCCTGTCGTTGTAAGGTCTGTTTTCCTGACCTCTGATCATGCGCGTGGCTCTTCTCTGGACTCTCTCAAGCTTCTCCACATCCTTTTTGAATTGTGGAGCCCAAAACTGGACGCAGTACTGCAGCTGCGGCCTCACCAAGGCTGAGTACAAGGGGAGAATGATGTCCCGGGATTTGCTTGAGAAGCATCTATGGATGCAAGCCAGCGTTTTGCTCGCTTTAGTAGCCACAGCATCGCATTGCAGGCTCATGTTCATATTGAGCCTTCATTAGTTATAGAGCAAGGTGTTCTAAACTACTGATATAAAAATAAAACAACTTTTTTTGTTTGTTTTGCATTCGCACGCACGCACGCACGCACACACACACACACACACACACACACCCCCCCCCGCCGCGTGATGAGGAAGGATTATTTCCACTCCTGTCACCCCCTCGCCCACGGCTCCTACCCACAGCCCCACTCCCCATGCAGCCTGTGCTGCCATCCTGGGTGGGTGGGGCAGATCTTTTTGCAGACGGTGGCACCAGGCACATTTGGAGCTCCAGAGCACGCTGCTGCCTCAGTGCAGTGCCGGCAGGCCGCATGCAGCCAAGCTCCTGTAGCTGGCACGGAGAAGCTGCACTTGCAAAAGTGCCCAGTGTCTGGTGCAACAGAATATCCCTCACACAGCACCTTATCCTGCCCACGTGCAGCCCAGCATCTCTGGGGCAGCCCCAGCACTCAGGCTCCTGCTTTGCACGCAGTATTACCATGGCAGCAGCAGCAGGAGCCAGTAAAGGTCTCTTTGCTGAACATGGTAACCTGTGACCACTACCTGGTGCCCCCTTCCCCTCCTGCTTACCAGAACCTGTAGTTAGTCGAGGGCTCAGACTGGCAGCAGGGTACGGGGACCAGACTATGTTTGCCAAGGTGCTTCAGGCATGCTACAACGACCAAAAAAAAGCTGGTAGCTGGTGACATTTTATCAGTGCCAACAAACGTATTGGTGCATCTCTAGTTACAGTCACACAGCAAGTCAGTGATAGTGGAGAGTAAAACCTATGGACACGTTTATGTATGGAAGCACCGCAGCACCGGGCGCTTCGAAAAGTACCTGGCGCTGCAACACTTGCAGTTGTATAAGTGGCGAAATGCGCGTCTGCACTGAGAAAATGGCAATGGCGCGCTTTTGAACTAAAACACATAGAAGGTGCTGCCATTTTCTGCACGCTAACGCACATTTGGCCACTTATACAACTGCACACGATGCAGTGCAGTGCACACCAGCTCGTGTGCACCAAAGCGACGGATCTCCAGTGCATCGCAGGACCAGAAAATATGTGTATAAATGCCCTAAGTCTCCAAGCTTCCTGGCATGTGCCTCAGTCCCTGGTCATGCTGTCTTACTCTGCCTGAATGCCCAAGATGAAATCTGGGCCTCATTGAAGTGTGTGGTAGACCTCTTTTATAAACTTTCATTCCACACATCCCTGCCTGAGGGACTGCTTTTGTTTTAGCATTTTAAAAAACACTCGGGACCTGTAATCTAATCCGTTGTCCTTGGGCTATCCCAAATTTGTATTTGTGTCATGCCACACAACTGTGAATAGCTATGGAAAAAAATATTCTGCCTTAATCTGAACTGAATTAGAAATGAGAAGCCAGTGTCTTTTTGTTACTATCGTAAAATGCTAGGAAGGGGCAAGGAAAATACAGTATGCTAATTAAAGCTTCTGAGTTATTGTTGGTCATTCCCCTCCTTCCTCTTCCCTGCCCCACATATACGGATGAAGTGCTCAGGTGTGGTCATATAAACGGTGATTGTTAATCTCTTCCTATATCTTATTTACAACAAGGTCCTCCCACTGGTTTTTGGTGAAGACCTAGTACTAGAAGTTGCCAATTTATTTCTCTGGCCCTGTAGGGAAGTTCACAGCAGCCTGTCCCTTTTGGAGCTCTTCCACAGTACATAGAAAGCTCTTCAGATTTAATGCCTTGGATCTAACATACGCAGGTGAAAATGCTGTTCCCCTCTAGTGTGTCCTTTAGGTACAAAGAGAAGTGCTCATTACTTGTAATGGAAGCTGTTTGAAGTCTGTTGTGTTGGCTCTGAGATGGCTTATTTACTCTAAGAAATCAGCTGAATAAATTAGCTGGTTAGCTAATTGCATTGTGCCTTGTTTAGGGTGTGTGCGAGTACAAGGTGAGGATTTTCAGGGAGCCTTCTGCTTCATGAAACATTTGAACGCACTGCAAATGGGAGGGGAAAGAAAAACCCCAAACTTTGTGCTTCATATCCCTCTTCCTGATAGTAGCACGACCAGATTTTAAGCATGCTTTGGCAGAAGATGGAGATGATCCCCCTGGAGACTACCCCTGTAATATTCAGCAGCAGTGCAAGCTTCCCTTCCCTGAGCCCTGGTGGACAGGGACCACCTACAGTATACCAGCTCTACCTTCCAAAAGGGGCCAGAGGAAGGCTTAACTGAGACCCTGTGGGTCAAGCTCCAAGGAGGGTGGGGGGAGAGGGATCTGGTGGCAGGGGTTTACTACAGGCCACCACATCAGGAGGAAGAGCTGGATCTGGAGTTCTCCAGGTGGCTGGGGGAGGCCGTGCGTGCAAGGGATGTTGTGGTCATGGGAGATATGAATTACCCTGACATCAACTGGGAGCAGTTGGCCAGGTCTGGCCACTTGCGAAGGCTCCTGTCGTGTGTCCAGGACCTGCACCTTGTGCAGGAGGTACTCATCCCCAGTAGGGGAAACGCCATACTGGATCTAGTGTTAGCCTCTGGGG